CCTATGGTAAAACTTTCGCGCCATAAAGCTAAACAATTTTCTAAGCCTTGGATTACAAAGGGATTAAAAACTTCAATCAAGATTTAAAAATTTTAAATAAGATTTTAAATCTTTTTCATTCAGGGGATCAAGAAAAATATAGGCTGTATAGAAACAAATTATCAAGGTTAACTCGAATTAGTAAGCAGCTTTATTACCAACCTTATTTCGCAGCCTTTATCAGCAGAAAACGGAAGCCCAGTTATTTTGTTAAATATTAAGAAAACTTGGCAGGGAATTAATAGCATAATAAATCACAAAAAGAAAAAGTTAAAATCTATAAGTGCTATTAAGAAGCTTAGTGGAAATGAAATAGTACGTGACTCTGTGAGAATTCCTAACATTCTTAATAAGCATTTTGCATCTGTTGGTTTCAACCTAGCAGCTAAATTACCTCCATCAACAAATGATTATTTCTTTAAACCAGCTACACCTGAAGAGGTCGAGTATGAAATTATATTGCTTTCTAACAACAAATCACATGGTCTATGCTCTTGTCCTACAAGAATTTTGAAGTGTGCAAAGAGTTTCTTCGGCAATGTCTTAGCAWAAATAATAAATATTTCAATTCAGTCAGGAAAATACCCCAAAAAACTCAAAATTGCCAAGATTGTACCTGTATATAAAGATGATGATGAAACTGATCCCAACAATTACCGGCCCATCTCGTTATTATCAAATTTTTAATAAGATTATTGAAAAAGTTATGTATAAAAGATTGATAAATTTTATTCGAATCGCAATATGGCTTTCGTGAAGCTCATTCTACTCAACATGCTTCTCTTTACATCATAAATGCCATACAGAGTAATATGGATAACAAACTGTTTTCTTGTGGTATTTTCATCGACTTAAAAAAGGCATTTGAAACTGTTGATCCTTCGATACTTTTAAATAAGCTTTATCATTATGGGATTAGAGGTATTATTAATGATTGGTTTGCATCTTACTTGAAAGACCGATTTCAAACAACACAGATCGGAACCGTAACTTCAAATAAACTAAACCACCTTATGCGGTGTCCCTCAAGGTTCTATTCTAGGTCCATTATTAATTTTGCTATATATAAATGATATCTATAAATGTTCTAACAAATTTAAAATCTCTATGATGATGACACTAACCTATTATATGCCAATAAAAGCTTAAAAACTCTTGTATTAACTGTTAATATTGAACTTGACAAGTTAAGTAGCTGGTTAATTGCAAATAAGTTAACCCTTAATATCAAAAAATCCAATTATGTAATTTTTCGTCCGTATCAAAAGAAACTCCCTTTTGAAGCTATTGTAAAGATTCTAGATAGCAATCTAAATAGATTCCTTCCTTTGGAGCGAAAAGATTTTGTTAAATACCTCGGAATTCTGATAGATGACAACCTTTCTTGGAATCATCATATAGATCATATTGCACTAAAAATCAGTAAAGCTGTAGGAATAATTGCAAAACTAAGACATTTCGTTCCTCTCCATACTCTCCATAATATTTATCGATCTCTGATTCACCCTTATCTTACTTATGGCTTAACTTTATGGGGACAAGCTGCACAAATTCACCTAAACAAAGTTCTTCTTCTACAAAAAAGAGTT